AGGAGGAGGGGGATCTGAGGGTGGGGATTGGGGTGGTGGAGCAGGCCTGGGGGGAGCTGGGGGAGGCTGAGCAGGTGTCTCAGTGGGACAGTGTTCTGGGGGCTGGGCTGTTTCACCTTCCCCCACTGTGTCCAGGGCCCGCAAATCGAACGTCTCCTACAAGAATCCGGCGCTGATGCCCAAGGAGCCGCACATCCGGGAGATGAAAATCTACATTGACAAGAAATACGAGACCGTCATCATGCCAGTCTTCGGCATCGCCACGCCCTTCCACATCGCCACCATCAAGGTACAGGCTGGGCCAGCAGCCAGCCAGGCGGCTTCCTCCTGGGACGCAGGGCTGGGGCTTGCGTGTGGAGAGTAGGAGCCCTGGGGGCTGGGCTGTGGGTGGAGAAGGTGGCTCCAGGGGCGCGTTCAGGCTGCCCCCCCGCCCCCGCTCCGTGTTGCAGAACATCAGCATGTCAGTGGAGGGTGACTACACCTACTTGCGCATCAATTTCTACTGCCCAGGCAGCGCCCTCGGGCGCAACGAGGGCAACATCTTCCCCAACCCCGAGGCCACCTTCGTCAAGGAGATGTGAGTGTCCCTCCCTGCCCTGGGGCTCCCCCCTGCTCCCTGCACCCCTCAGCCCACAAACTGCTGGCACCCCGCCGTTCTCAGGGACACTGGGCTGCCCCTGCCCCACAGTCCTTTCCCCCAGAGTCAGGCTGCTGTCGGGGGCCATGAGTTAGGACTCGGGCTGCCCGTGTAGCCTGCGTCCTGGGCCTCTGTCCAAGGGCAGTTTGACACCTGTTGTCGAGGCTGGGCAGGGGGCTGCCTGTGCTATGGTTTCTGGTGGGGGCTGGGCACCCGAGTGCCTCACAGGGGCCAGTCTCCCCCAATAACTGCTCCCACTTCCCCAGTACGTACCGTGCCTCCAACATGAAGACGCCAGGCGAGCAGACCGTGCCAGCCCTCAACCTGCAGAACGCCTTCCGCATCATCAAGGAGGTGCAGAAACGCTACAAGACCCGGGAGGCAGAGGAGAAGGAGAAGGAGGTGAGCGGCTGCCCGGGGGGACGCTAGCCCCGTGTCCCACGTCAGGCAGGGATGCGCCGCAGAAGCTCACTCCCGGTCTCTCCCCGTGTCCCTCCAGGGCATCGTCAAGCAAGACTCACTCATCATCAACCTGAACCGCAGCAACCCCAAGCTCAAGGACCTCCTACAAGACCCGGGAGGCAGAGGAGAAGGAGAAGGAGGTGAGCGGCTGCCCGGGGGGACGCTAGCCCCGTGTCCCACGTCAGGCAGGGATGCGCCGCAGAAGCTCACTCCCGGTCTCTCCCCGTGTCCCTCCAGGGCATCGTCAAGCAAGACTCACTCATCATCAACCTGAACCGCAGCAACCCCAAGCTCAAGGACCTCTACATCCGGCCCAACATTGTGTCCGGTGTGCCCCCTGTACAGGTGGGGGCCCCTCCCACGGCCCGGCCCCTAGCCCCTGGCCCCTGCCACCGCAGGGCCCCTCTCACACTCTATCTCCCGGCAGGTTTCCGCTTCACCTCTGTGCGGGGAGACAAGGTCGACATTCTGTACAACAACATCAAGCATGCCCTCTTCCAGCCCTGCGACGGGGAGATGATCATTGTGCTCCATTTCCACCTCAAGGTAGGGCCCCCCACCGCGCCCCCGTACGCCCGGCCCGGCCCTGCAGCGGGGAGCACGTCCACTGTAAGGTAGGGCCCCATCACACCCCCCCCCCCCGGCAGACCGGCCCCGCACCCAGC